AAGTGTATAAAAAAAGATTAATGTTATAGGCACCGAGTAGCTCGTACTTAAGCGCGAGTTAGCGTTACATGCTACGCACCGAGTAGCATGCTGTAAGTACTTGAGGAAGATAGATTACGGTAAGAAATTCCGGGGAGATTCAAAAATTCTCTCATTCGTAGAGATCTCGTTATTGGCCGTGAGAGCCAGTCGTGGGTAATGTGGACTGACTCTCGCGTTTTGATGTTTCTCCAAGGTGGCAGATAGTTGTGTGTTGTGTGAAAGTACGAAACACTTAGTGTGATTTCACAGAGGGATCTCGAACAATAAGACCCGCCTCACTTAGCTATGTGGTTGTTTCTAGTGCTAAGTACTCTTCCCTGATGTCTTTGTAAGCATGGTCCTGCGTAGGTCGGGCTTTCATAACGCGACAGGGGCGTGCTGTTGGTTAACTCAGCAGGAAGACGACGACAGCAACTACAAGGAGATGCTCTTCGACTTTCAAAGTGATACACAGCTCGGTGTGCTAACTGTGCACGTTTTACTTGCTCATAGTGCGGAGTATGTTTCTTGACTACTTGCTGTTGTCCGTACATCTACGTGGTTGTCAGTTGATTCATCCTACTTGTGCACCAACACGTACTAGTGCGTTATTCACAGGGACAAAAACTACAGTCATGCAAGCGATTAGATGGTCAATAGAGAGAACGTACATGCATTTGGATTACCACGGTCCTAGTAAGCCTACTGTAGACATTTCAGCATGTACCGAAGTCTGAAAAAGCGCATCTGTGTTAGAGATGGTTTCAGCGGCATCTTGTTACCAGCAAGGTAGCACTCGAAAACATGAGAGCAACAGCTCCACAGCATGAGACGTCTGGATGGCGTGAATCCGTGACTCGTTTGATCTGCATCAGTGTGTAGATTTCTCCAAATAATTCCTTCAGCAGGTCTTCGCGTTCGTCATAGTATTTCGACCTAGCAGCTTGCAGAGGAACAAAAACCATGATTCCTCGACTTTCACGACGATAGTCGAACACGGCCCCACACCAGTGGTTATTGTCGACGTGTAATGGCAGCAATATAACTTGTTTGTTTCCTGCAATGGATTCCCGGCATTGATGGCACTGAGCTGCGTTTCTCGTTTCTCAAATCGGCTGAACATTGGATTGACAATGCCACCATTGGTGTGTTCTCGCTGGAGTAAAGCTATTCCGTGTGTCATGTGTGGTGCAGCGATTTCCAAGTAATCG